CATTTCACTTAAAGTCGCAGTTTCCAAGACCCTATCAACGTCATTAAATGAGGACTTACTGTTGTTAGCTGCTATCTTCCCAATTAACAATTTGCACATTAAATATTTAATCCACGATGTACATAGGATAAATGAATTGTAAATTGTTAATACCCAAGTTCTGCTGAGTAGTAGACCATTAACATTTATTATTATGTTATCTAGTAGTATAACACAACTTCTTCTTCTGCTATTATGTTTTAATCTTGATTCTGTATAAGGATAATTTATCCAGAGTTTGCCATTCATCCATCTTAATCTGAAAAGTATAATAAAATTCAATCCAGGCATTATAAATATCCTTTAACTATTAAATAACAAATGCATAGTATAATTATAGATTCCTGTAAAAAAAAGTAGGTAGATTAGTGATTGATAGCTATTTTTGCTTCACTTTATAGGTTATTCATTAAAAGCTAATCTATCTTAAAGTTATATCGACATGGTAAAATGTAGCATGAAACATGCTACAGTAAAATGAACAAAAAGAGATATCTATTGAGTTTAGAGGGCTCATAGTGTTTGGTGAAAATGTTTAATTGAAATTATGAAATACCGATTGGTTTGTGTAATGGAGATAGCCTTAATTCGTGCATATTGGAAAGAAGTGTATTTATGAGTCAATTTTGATTCAAGGATTAGGCCTTTTTTTAATACATTATACATGTATATAACTTAACCTAAGTAACCCAAACAAAACAAAAAGTAATCCAATCTTAACAAATAAAACTCAGCTATTAATTAATTATTGATCATTCATACTTGTTTTTACTTTTCTTACAGTGCATGTTTACCATATCCACTGATGTCAGTGAATTATGACACAAAATATCAATTTATAAGCATGTATTACACTCAGGAGACATTACTTGGATGTTGGTACAGTAGTATTAAAACTGTTCACCTGTCTGGATGGGCTAACAGGTTGCTAATATTTCTGCCCCCCTTCCCCCCCTCCATATAAAAATGAAAATAAAGGGTTAATTCACTAGAGCCCCTAAACTCAATATTTGCCCACAAAGCTAGTACTGTATAAAGAAGGTGCAGGTTAGGTTTAGTCATTTCAGTTTAATTCTTAGTAATTGCAAAGATTTTAATGTCTACCTGTGCTTTTCCTGACTGGTTTTGAGGGCTCTTCTACCCCACAGCCTGGCATAAGGCCATGCTTCCCTGTTGTTTGCCTGGTCAACCAGGCTGTTTGTGCTAATGGCTCATAGACCCATACATGTGTATCTATGACATCCTGGCTGACTGCTAGGACTGTTAAGCATTTAGACTCCTAGAATTATTAAGGCCTTCACTTAGGATCATTAAGGCCTAACAACTGAAATGATCATTAATTACACAATGTAACTAGTGATTAAAATAGTTAAGGATCAAAATATACCCCATGTACATTATTATTGAGAAATTCATCTTTCGATGTATACTTTTGTGTAGGGTACCAGCTAATCAGTATTTGCCCTTAATATGCATACCTCTGAGCACATCTGAGACTGCTCGAGTCTTCAGCCGTCAATTATGAAACACTAGTTACAAAACCACATGCAGTATGACAGTGGCACAGATACATATCTAACCTGTTGTAAGGTATTCTTTCTGTTTTCTCAGCAAAACTGTATCAGCAACAACAAAAAATATACTTATATACACTAGGCTATGCTAGTCAAGGGCAAGATTACAATGTATCACATAGCTATTGATTTCACATATATGCTATATCTGCATAAACCATATCCATATTAAAACAGACAGACACATTTGCAAGGCCTTGTACATTCCCAGGTTTTAGTGATTTATCTTGCTAATGCTTTGTATGATACTTTATATAAAATCTAGGAAAGTATATATATTACATATCATAATTTTCACATTCTGGATGGATTTTTAACTTCCATTAATGAAAACTTCACTGGCATGCAATAATTATTTTGACTGGTTTCTTCTGGTAAAATACAATGTTAAATGACTCATGTGTTTAGCACCTGTGAACTTTCTAATTATTATGGGATGAAGAATGAAGATTGGACTATTTGCTCGACAGTGATGGGCACAGGTGACAGCATTCATGAATTGGAGGAATAATCTTGATTTCATGACAGTGAATATGACATCAGATCAGTGATAATAACTTCCATGGCAGTGACCAAGATTTTAAGAATCATAGACTTTCATTTACACCAGACAATTCATGTGCATTGTATGAAAAAGAAATTGACGATGTATCTACCTGCCTTTGATCATTATTTTCTTAATTAGTGTCTATATGATAAATAACTGTAACCAAAGATTGCTGACCTGGTACTGTTAGATTGAATGCTACTCTAAAACAAAACTTATATGCCTGTTTATTGGAAAGTAAAAGGGGCACACTCTTCTGATAAATTTATGAGAATTGTATATTGAAATGATTACTTCTTCCTAATGATCCCATTTGCAATTCAGTGCCTTGTTCATGGTGTAAAACTGTATGAATTAAGAATTCCATTCATTAGTTAAGAGGTATGAGTAGAGGAAATAGGAAGGAAGACAAGTTGCTCATTGCTTTACTAAAAGCAATACCACAGCCACATTTATCTTGAACAGGGCAAAGTTCATTCAGTATTGCATTTTCTTAATAAAAGTTGACATTAAGTAAAATGTAGTTTATTAAAACATGCACATTAGAAAAAATATACAATGTTGATACTGAAGTCAAAAATCTTTGTAGTGACTTCCATAAATATATTTTTTATTATTCAGATATATTATTAATACATATTGGGAAAACAGTATAAGCTTGCTGACAGGAAAATTTCTCAGTAAAGCTCTCTAATGCCCCCCCCCCAAAAATATTTCTTGACTATTGAGACTCAGGAATAAGTATGGCTAATGTTGTATCTGCAGCATTAAAGCTAATATGATATGCCCTCCGGCTACTAGTAAATGACATATGAGTATTGAAAATACAGTTATCTAAATATCTATTGATGAAAAGTATATGAGAGCAAATCATTATTGAGAAACAGTGAACTGTGATGATAGACTTGTAGACATACTAGATCTATTTGGGATCAATTATTAGAATTTGCATTGCTTAGCTTAAGTCATATTTTCAGGCTTATAATGTACTCTTGGAAATGTTGTTACATTTTTAACCTTTGCTTACCTATTTGGTTTGTTTATCAGTATGATTTAGGTGTACTAGATGACACTTACGGTGCATTAACTTTCACATTACTAGTAATGTTCTCACTAAAAAAAAACTCGTTTGCACAGAAATTCCACTGTATCTTCAAGAATTTGTGCATCAAGAGGGTTCTGTTTCAAACTTCTTTGCACCATAAATGTTCATTTACACATTTGTTAAGGATAATATTCCTGGGTACATTTTGGTGAAAAATTTGTCATCATCTATATTAGGAACTAAACATAACTCACCAATCACTACACTTCTTCACATTTAATGTTGTGAATATTATGTTATCAAAACATTATTTTCTAAATACATATTTACAATATAACTAATAAATTGATCTAAGTTGCATCTTGGATTGGATAACATTCTGGATTGGATAATTTCAATACATTGGCAACAGCTGATTATGTTCATTCATCATTATTCTGCCCATGAGGAGCAGGACTCAAGTGAAGCTTCCGATCCTAGTGGTACCTAGTCACCATTTCATTACTGTGCATTATTAGTCAATACAAACCTATGCTGTTAAAACTTAAAATCTATGGAGGGAAACTGTACTCTTGAGTTATGTTGACTCCCTTTTCCCTATACTAAATGAGGCACTGGTTGGCCTCGTATACATAACTGTTATTGCATATGTAAGTTACATTTTGTAAGCTGGGTGACAATAGCATTAACCATCATGATTTTTGGGTTGGCCTTCAGTTCATCATAGCAAGGAGGGTGGAAGTGATATTTGTAGTGAAGATGCTTGATTGCCTCTACCACCATTAAGTCATCTTGCTGGTGTTATGTAGTTGGTCTAAGTGGTGGTGTCCATAGTTCACTAATAATGCCACTACTCAACTTTCTTGCTCCTCCTGTTGCAGATGTTGTAATATGTTTGCTTGTTTTACTGTGATTTTAAAGAGTTCTAGGGCACTGTGGACTCACCCTGGCTGTAGTTTGTCCAGTTCTCATGACTGTGTAAATATGTTAAATAATAAATTCTGGACAAGGTGATGGTATTTTGCTGACCTAGTGTTCCCTAGCCATGATGCATTTCCATGGCAGATGAAACTCTGGACCAGACAAGCAAGTAATTCAAGGAAGAAGCATGCATTGCATGTGAATAAATCATTCCCCTTTCTCACTGTTTAAAAAATTACATTATTCAATGAACCAGACAGGGTAGGTGGTACCGAAAGACCTTAATACCAATGTTAGAAATGTATGGCGGACTTTCCAAATGTGTAGCTTTATCAATCCAATTTAGAGCATGGGAGAATACGGAATAAGATTGAATGGAGGTTAGCTGTCAGCACATGAGTTGCCTGCTTGTTTTGCATGTTGTGGGGTAGAATTGGTATAGCAAGGAAACCTGATATGGTAGATACAGGCATGGGAAGGTGAACATAGGTACTGGAATGTGGACAGGCATTAAAAGGTTAGCACAGTCATGAGGTGGATTCAGGTGTGGAAAGGTGAAGACATAAGAATGTGGACACAGATTAGGAAAGGTGAACATAGGTGTGGAAAGGTGAACACAGGTATGAGAATGTAAATGTGCTAAGGTACACACAGGAGTGGGAATGTCACTAAATGGACAGAAATTTGATTGACAGTTGATAATTGGCCCAGTGTTGCAAAAGGTTATTGGCGATGTCCCTGTGAATGGACAGGTCTTGATAGCTAGTTGTGGTGTGATCTTAGACAGCAACATCATGGAGTGTTTCTACAACACTACACAATGTTTCCACCTCTTCTGAAGTGATAAGTTTGAGGAAGTAATGAAACAAAAGTGGACCGGTGCTGTTCTTTATTAACAAACTGGGGAAGTATGTTACATTAACTGCCGCATTCAGACGGCCACCAACACAAAGGCACATTATATTAATATATTACATTTCATATATTAATTTGTACGAGAAAGAAATGCATGTCAGTTCAGGTGATAAGGAGAAAAGAAGAGGAAGGAAGGTGAGACGAGGAAAACACTCATTATAAAAAAGTTTGCAAAAAATATATATTTTTGATATAGATATATATAAAATCGCAGGTGTAAAAAAGTAACCGCCTACCAAAAGCTTTTCCCGCCTATTTATTTTTCCCATCAAAACTCTGTTGGACAAGAAAATAAATGCGTAGCACTCCAGACTATCCTATGGAATATTTCAGATTAATGTACACTATGATCAGGTGAGGATGCAGTGCTCTGCATGAGGACAAATCTCACATCACAACCAAGGCGGAAATGTGTTGTGCACCTATCAATTACTGGAAACACATAGGCACACACACACATTTTGACTATTCACAGTCAAGTGTTCTGCCCAAAGACACAACCTTAATTAAAGCAATGGAAGCCCTGGAGTCATCTGCTCAGAATAATGGTTGAAAGTTTTCTCGTGAGGGGTCTGCTTCTCTGACTAGCAAAGATAAAGGGGGTTGAGAGAGGAAACCTGTCCAATACACTCACCCACAAAAGGTGACCAGTTTAACACATTTACCCATAAGAGGTGACCATCCTGCATTACTTGCTTCTCATAATGCAAATTGAAACAAAGGTCAAGGATTACATAAACACATTCCAATTGTGAGAAATCAGGCAATTAAGTGTTCTCTCCCAAACAAGGTGCATTTCCATCCATCCTTTTTCTAGGGCAAGTCACTAAAACAACTGGAATATTCATGAAACTGGGTCTTTTATTTTCTGGCATCGTAGCCAAATGACAGTACACCATCAATACACTTTGTGACTCACCTCTAGTAGATAACAAGACAGCTGAGTGTGGCCATATTTTCTCTCAACAGGACTGAGGAAAGTGGATACAGCAGAAGCGATCCTTCAAAATAGACAGCCACTTCCATGAGGTAAAACAAACACAGTTCCACCACTATTAATCTTTTAAAGGACGACAAAAATTATAAAAAGTTTGCCCCTGGAGAAAGAGCAGGAGTGGTAACTTTCCTCACAAGTTCCTTAACTACTGGTGTGGCCAGCAGCATCCCTAAAATGAGGGATTAAGCCCACCCAAAGAGGGATGCCACCATTCAGGCACTGCTAGGCCGAGGTCAGTGAGGCGGCCACTAACCTACTGGGGATTTAGTAAAAAGTAAGTCTGTATATAACATCTGTTAACAACAAAAACACACTTACAGTACTTTCCTAAGATTGCTTTGTCAATATATTAACATGATATAATGTGAAATATAAGCATGCTTATTATTTTTCAATAGAACATTGTCAATAAAAATTATATAAAAGGTTAAAATCTCTGTAGTAATAATTATATATACAGCATATTTATCAAATTATTAATATATAAAATATAAAAAGGGAAAGTGTTGTCAGTAAGTGAAGAGCATAAAAGCCTTCACTGTTGGTGAACTAGTAGCAATTAAGGTAAACTTAAGACAATTCCTAAGGCACTTAATGGACGGATACCCTAAAAGGGCCTCACCTAGCTGCAGCTGTTGCTATTGTTATGACTGGTCTCCAGGGTAGTGTATTTTTTGTGAACCGTGTAATTCTGTAAATACAAAAATTATGATGTGTTTCGTTTTTATCACCAGAATCAATTTCATTATGTGTCTTTGCTTGAGCCAGGCAGAACAGCAGCAAGAGCAGCAAGTGATGAAAAAATGTAGAGGCGCTAGTTGCGCTTGGAGGAGTTGATGAGGTACTTGCAGCAATGTGTGAGGAGGTGTTTCTCTGTTGGTCCTCCAGTGTCCGGCCCAGCTACCTCACGGGTGTAGATGTCCATGCCATACTGACCCTCCTCAGGAAAGCTCAAAGTGAAGGTCACCACATCATCAGTGACTCTGTGACTCACATATTTGCTGAGCCGTTTCTCCTCAGAACCGTTTTTGTGAAGTGTCGCCATAAAGTCTGTGAGAGGCCGCGTCATGCGGAACTGGAGCTCTAGGTCACGGCCGGCAAAGACCAAAGCATCCTGATGGGTGACAGGCTCCAGACCAAAAAGTCTGGTAGCTTTGGCAGGACCCCACTCTCCTGAGGCACAGTCTGGCAAGGGAACCATCACTGTCTGCAGGTCTTCGCACACAATCTTGAACTTGCACACACTCTTGAACTTCATAGGCTCTCCGGTGAGGTATTCCCTTGGAGTGACAGCATTAGCAAAGATGTCAAGCAGTAGTGCTCCTGAACAGGGTGCATGTACTCGGAATGCCACCAGTTGACCCACCACAGACTGAGGGAGCACACAAAGGTTGTTATAAGAGAGAGAGAACAGGTAGGAGAGAGAGGCACAGGCGAATGTGGAGAGAAAATATATGTGAGCAAGAGGAATGTATGTATGTATGTATGTGTGTGTGTGTGTGTGTGTGTGTGTGTGTGTGTGTGTGTGTGTGTGTGTGTGTGTGTGTGTGTGTGTGTGTGTGTGAGTGTGTGTGTGAGTGTGTGTGTGAGTGTGTGTGTGAGTGTGTGTGTGAGTGTGAGTGTGAGTGTGAGTGTGTGTGTGAGTGTGTGTGTGAGTGTGTGTGAGTGTGTGAGTGTGTGTGAGAGTGTGTGAGAGTGTGTGAGAGTGTGTGTGAGAGTGTGAGAGTGTGAGAGTGTGTGAGTGTGTGAGTGTGTGTGTGTGGTGTGTGTGTGTGTGTGTGTGTGTGTGTGTGTGTGTGTGTGTGTGTGTGTGTGTGTGTGTGTGTGTGTGTGCGCATGTGTGTGTGTGCAAAAAAACATAAAATATTATAAATTATGCTAGTTAGTGCTTCATTTACATATTTTTCACTTGGTTTTTACCAAATAAAAAAGAGGAAAGGTGATAGGGAAGGCCCTCTGAACTCTTGGTCTGCCTTTCTAAAGAGGTGCAGGTGGTGAACCCTGGAAAGAACCAGTAAAGAGGAATGAACAAAGCATTTGGGGAGCAGAGCTCTGCTAAAAGACATTATGGTATAAACCTTGGTAATAAATACTGACAAGTTGGTTTAGAAAAACACGCAAGTAAAACACTAGGACATCTTTATTAGAAAACGTTTCGGTCCTGGGACCTTGATCACTTCTAACATACAGAGGTTGAAAGACAGTATATATCAGCAACACAGGAGTCACATGATCTCATCGTCTACCCACCCTCATCCCAATATGGCATGCTTCAGGTCCCCATGCGTTACTCACACCTCACTCTCCGGGTACATATACTGTCTTTCAACCTCTGTATGTTAGAAGTGATCAAGGTCCCAGGATCGAAATGTTTTCTAATAAATATGTCCTAGTGTTTGCTTACGTGTTTTTCTAAACCAAAAGACATTATACAAGGAATGAGCAAAATGCATTTACGGCATTGTACTTAATATTAATTTGGCAACAAAATATAGAGGTAGAAGTAAATTATTAAAATGGAATAAGTCTTTTTTTTTTTTTCAAGAAATATGCAAGGAATGATAAGAGGAAAAATGTGCAGGATTCATTGTAATAAGTGGGGGGTGGAGGAGGAGGAGCCAGTCAAATACTAAGAAAGAGGAGCACTGCAAGGGAGCTAGGTGCCCACAGAGGGTAAGAGCAAGAACACCTGTGACCTAACCTGATTCCTCCTTTTTCTTCTTCTCCCTCTTCCCCTTTCCTCTTTCCTTTTTCTCCTTTGAGTTGTCTTTCTTCTGCCCTGTGTATCTGTTCCTTCTTGATTTTTTCATTTATTCCTCCCCCCTTGGTGTTCTTGCTCTTACTCTCTCTGGGCACCTAGCTCCCTTGCAGTGCTCCTCTTTCTTAGTATTTGACTGGCTCCTCCTCTTTTTACTGCCTCCCCCACTACTACTTCCTTCCCCCTCCACTACTACTACTACCACCACCTCCTGCCTATATATACCCTTCCTACTCTCCTTTTCGTTAGTGTGACTTTGTAAATGACCCAAGTCGGACCGAAACGTCATCGTAATCTCCTCTCTTCTATGTGCAGGTTATTTGAGTTTTATTATCTTTTCATAATAAATAACTGGCTAGGAGGAATATGCATTTAAGTAAATATATTAGTAGAAGATGCAAAAATCTTGTGCAGCATAGCAAATCAAGAAAAGTAAAAAATTCCACAGGAAAATTTTGATTAATTTAGTAAATGGAGTGACAGTTGATGGAACTTAATGTTATTAAAATGCCACATGATAGAAACAAATGAAATTCAAGAGAAAAGGCTGGTAAAAAAAATTTGTGTGATTAAATCTTAATGTCATCTAACAGAAAAAGACCTTACATTGATTAAAATATAAATTAAAACCTGAAAAGAATAGTGATGAGAGTTTCTTGTATTATTTTGGAAGACTTCAAAATAACCTAAAATGTGTTGTACAGTGGAACCCCGGTTATCAGCCGTAATCCATTCCAGAAGGTTGGCCGAAATCTGAAATGGCCTAAAACTGAATCAATATTTCCCATAAGAAATAATGTACAGTGGTACCTCGAGTTACGAGCTTAATTCCTTCCAGAAGGCTGTTCGAGTGTTGATACCGAACAAATTTGTTCCAATAAGGAATAATGTAAATTAGATTAGTCCATTTCAGACCCCCAAAAATACACTTAAAAAAGCACTTACAAAAATACACTTACATAAATGTTCGAGTTGGGAGCTATTCGAAAATATAGTTTTACATACACAAAACAATGAAAAAGAAATACAGCAGTAATTTTAATGATAAATTAATATTACATACCTTTATTGAAGACTCTTGTTGGCATATGGAAAAAGGCGAGGAGAGGAGGAGGACTGATTATTGTTTGGAAGGGGAATGCCCCTCCCTAAGGACTTCATGTATCAAAGCCCTTTCTGAGGCTACTTCCCTTCTTTGTCTTATACTGGCACTAGGACCACCTTAAAAGTCACTGTACCCCTGTCGCAGAAAAAAAATCTATCCAGAGAGGTCTGTTTCTGGCATCTCTTTGAGATTTGCCTGAAGTGGGACAAGGTTTTGTCACTAAACATGTTGCAGACACAGCTTGCAACAGCTTTGTTAGGGTGACAATTCTATGCTAAACTTCGCAACTCACGCCACTTTGCACACGTCCTTAATCAATGAAGAAATAAATCACTTTTTTTCAGTGTTCCTGTATGAAACTAGTGATCTAGTGCAGTTAGCCTCACAAACACACTGTTTTCTCTTATCCAAGGACCTCAGGGCAAAAATGGGAGGACATGTTCAGAGCGGTAATTATTTTATGTAGCTACTGGCCATAAACACTCGTCATATAATGAGATATTTTATTCATTCTAGAGTATATATCATGTTTCTATGAGTAAGTTTATTTAGGTTTACCCACATACAGTTACACAGATCATCATACATAGCAGATATACATAGTTACATAGATTATCATACATAGCAGCATATGTGTAGAGAACCTAGGATAACCCAAAAAAGTCAGACAGAGTGACTTATTTCCATTGTATTTCTATGTTGTTTATATTGTTTATTATGAGTTCTTCCTTGAATTTTATCATGTTTCTCACCGTCACTGGCTTCTTGGACCTCTTGGGGAGGGTCGATGGTGCTCGTGCAAGCAGCAGATCCCAGGGCAACTTGCTGCTGTTTGCAATGGCTGTCTACCGAGGAGAGACAGGCACCTAGCAACATCTGTTGTTGGGGCAATGGATGAATTCCCTGCTATGTTTGTTAACTGCTCATTACTCTGTAATTTGTCTATGATTGTAATCATGTGATAACGTGTTTATCATTCATTACCTTTGAAACTTGTCATGATTTTGACCAGCTCTACCTGGAGCTCATTACCTTTGTAAATTCTCATGATTAATGTGTTATGATTCATTACCTTTGCAATTATTCATGAGTGTGACCAGCTCTACCTGGAGCTCATTACCTTTGTAACTTGGTCATGATTATGACCAGATCTAGTTCATTACCTTTGTAACTTGCTCAGCTATCAAAACTTTGGAGTCCAGTCCCTGGACCAATTATGTACCTCTGTAATCTTTTGACTACTGCCCACAGGATGGGTATGGGGTGCATAATAAACATATTAAACTAAACTTTACCAAAGGGCTGGTACTCTGAACTTTCTTTGGCCCCATGATGGCTTATTTTACAGTTGTCATCAACAAAAAACACCAGAAACAATGGATAAGCCGCGTTCAGTATACAAATTTTTTCGTTCCTGAATGCTGTTCGAGTGCCGATACCAAACGAATTTGTTCCCATAAGGAATAATGTAAATCAGATTAATCCGTTTCAGACCCCCAAAAATACACATACAAAAGCACTTACATAAATACACTTACATAATTGTTCAAGTTTTGAGCTGTTCGTATCCCGAGGTACCACTGTACAGTACAGTGGACCCCCGCTTAACGATCACCTCCCAATGCGACCAATTATGTAAGTGTATTTATTTAAGTGCGTTTGTACGTGTATGTTTGGGGGTCTGAAATGGACTAATCTACTTCACAATATTCCTTATGGGAACAAATTTGGTCAGTACTCGCACCTGAACATACTTCTGGAATGAAAAAATATCGTTAACCGGGGGTCCACTGTATTCCTAATCCAACAAGAGAGATGCGTAGACCGAGTGTGATATGCGTGAGGAAGAGCGTCGCCGGTCAGTGGTGACGCGTCTCATACAGCCCATATCTGAGAGCATGGCCGATATCTTGAGCAAAATTTCGCCGATAAAAGTGCTAGATCCTAGGTAGTAGGTTGGTAGACAGCAGCCACCCAGGGAGGTACTACCGTCCTGCCAAGTGAGTGTAAAACGAAAGCCTGTAATTGTTTTACATGATGGTAGGATTGCTGGTGTCCATTTTTCTGTCTCATGAACATGCAAGATTTCAGGTACGTCTTGCTACTTCTACTTACACTTAGGTAACACTACACATACATGTACAAGCATATATATACACACACCCCTCTGGGTTTTCTTCTATTTTGTTTCTAGTTCTTGTTCTTGTTTATTTCTTCTTATCTCCATGGGGAAGTGGAACAGAATTCTTCCTCCGTAAGCCATGCGTGTTGTAAGAGGCGACTAAAATGCCGGGAGCAAGGGGCTAGTAACCCCTTCTGCTGTATATATTACTAAATGTAAAAGGAGAAACTTTTGTTTTTCCTTTTGGGCCACCCCGCCTCGGTGGGATACGACCGGTGTGTTGAAAGAAAGAAAGAAAAGTGCTAGATTTCTGAATCAGCCGATTTCTGTGACGGCCTATAACCAAGGTTCCACTGTATATTGATTATGAAATGTTGAAAACAAAGAATAATAAATAACAGTGCTATGGCATTTATAATTTACAACTTAGCCTCAAATCTGAGATGAAACTACAGCAGATTAACATTTTGGCCCAACTGGGACCCATCTGTGGAAAGTGCCAGCAACATGTCATAAATCTCTGGCAGATTGAGACCTGTCCCACCCAACCAAAAGATTATCACTGATCTTTTGCACTTCACCAGGTGAACACTGCTAGCCTATCTCACCCTACCAGATGAAGATTAATGACTTGGCCCAATGCACCAGGTGATTGGTAACTACCTAACCTCCAACTTATTAGTGGTATGATCCCTTATCATCTACTAGTCCAGACATAAGTGTACCAGCTGGTGATTCCTGCTACTGCCACCTACTGATTAAAATAATCACCCATCCCCAACTAGTCTTTTCAACAAGAACAGGGGTGATTAGTGGTGGACTTGCCTGCATGACAAAGCGCTTCAGAGAGACAGTGTCATAGTGGTCCTTGTCGGAGTCATAGAGCTTGAGATTGTAGTGGAAGATGAGAGAAGACTGCATGTGTCCAGGCATTCCAATTCTTATAGTGGCAGCTCCTACAATACACCAGTACCATAAGATGAGTTTTATTCAGTAATAAATCTACAAATGATTCTACAGACAATAGTATAAACTTGTACAATGATCTGAAGGGACATAGAAATTGTGGGCATACATAAATATAGTACATTATTGTAAACATATGAATTCACAACCAAACACAATGTTCTGAACCCTTGTTAGTTTGACTTCAGGCCAGGATGAAGAACCAATGATGCAGTAATAAAAATGCTCAGCTTGATTTATTCCTCTCTTTAAAAAAATGAATACTATTTAATATGCCTCTTTATCTAAAAAAAAAAAATCCTTTGATACAGTTGACCACAACATTCTGCTAAATTAGGACACTATGGAATCTAGTATGCTTTCTTGTACATAAAATCTTACCTTAGTGGCAGATACCAATGTGTGACCATTAACAACTACTTCAGTAACCTTATTAATCAATTTAGGGATTCCACAGGGCCCTCTGCTATTTCTCATGTACATCAACGACCTTTCTAACTTTTTTGCAGGACCGTCAACCAATTCTGTCTGCAGATTTTTTAATGCTAAACAATAGAGCTAATGTCAAACCTGGAAAAATATCAAGTGATATCTCTGGTGATATCTCTGGTAATTAACAAACTCACACTTACTGCTGATTAGACATTCTACATAATATTTCGGAACAAAGCTCAAAATACAGGTAGACAGAAAAACAGACACACACAGGTAGACAGAAAGACAGGCACACAGGTAGACATAAAGACACACACAGGTAGACAGAAAGACACACAGAGATACAGACAGACACAGATATACAGGCAGACAGATACAGACAGGTTTATGTGCAAATAGAGAGTTCAAGAGTAAGAGCCTTTCTTGCCACAATCTCCTGTGCAAGATTCAGACTTCATCTTAGGGGCCATGGTAAAATTTACTGTCCAGTTAGTTCAGTTAATACAGTATGATGCTGCAGATAGGGCAGGGTTACTCAAACTGATGCTGCCTGCATGACGCATTGCCGCCACGAGTATTGTCAAATATTGTACAGTGGTGTGCATCAGCCGGCCCAGCCCAGCTGCCAGATGCACGATCGTAAGTCGAGTGGACGTATGTCGAGCAGGTTGTAAGTCGGATGGTAGGTGTATTCATATGAGCATATGGTGTTATTACCTTCAGAAAAAGATTCTATACCGTTTCAGAAGAAAAAATAATTTTTTTTTTAAAAAGTGGACACTGAGTGCAATATTTATTTCAGTGGTCTGGACAGTGAAAGAGTTAACATGCATAAAATTCACTCATACTTCTGTGCATACTACATATACAGAACAATCAATTCTAATATCAATCCTGCTCTGCAACTCTTTCTCGATAGCTGCAACAGAACTCATAGACATATTACCAGACACAAAAATCTCTATGATATTCCATGTGTCCAACTCAACCTATGCAAAAACTCAATGTGCATAAAAGGACCTAAGATCCGGAACTCTCTGCCTGAAGATTCCATAGGCTGCCTGTCTTCCAGCCACCTCAAAGCAACTGTTAAAAAACACCTCCTTACCTTAATGTGATCCTGACAGCCATTCATTATGCTGAACAAATCCTGAAACCTGTCTCTCATCCAACATTGTCCCTGTTCTTGTTCCATCCTTACTCAACTCTCATTTATTACTAGAAAGGCATTAGTTCCTTGTATCAATTCATGTACACAGTTTGCTTCATGTATCTTCCGTAAGGATTTTTATCAAATTACTGAATCTTTCTTCTTTCTTTCAGTGCACTGGCTGTATCCCACAGAAGCAGGGTGGCCCAAAAAGAAAATCAAAAGTTTCTCTTTTTAACTTTAGTAATGTATACAGGAGAAGGGGTTACTAGCCCTTTGCTCCCGGCATTTTAGTCGCTTCTTACAACACGCATGGCTCACAGAGGAAGAATTCTGCTCCACTTCCCCATGGAGATAAGAGGAAATAAACAAGAACAAGAACTAGAAAGAAAATAGAAGAAAACCCAGTGGGGTGTGTAAATATATGCTTGTACATATATGTGTAGGAGCAAGGGGCTAGTAACCCCTTCTCCTGTATATATTACTAAATGTAAAAGGAGAAACTTTCGTTTTTCCTTTTGGCCCATCCTGCCTCGGTGGGATACGGCTGGTGTGTTGAAAGAAAGAAAACATATACGTGTAGTGAGACCTAAGTGTAAGTAGAAGTAGCAAGATGTACCTTAAATCTTACATGTTTATGAGACAGAAAAAAGCACACCAGCAATCCTACCATCATGTAAAACAATTACAGGCTTTCATTTTGCACTCACTTGGCAGGATGGTAGTACTTCCCTGCGCAGTTGCTGTCTACCAGCCTACTATCTGGGACATGTCAATTACCCTAAATATACTTCTACAGACATACACCCCACCCACATACACTAACCCACCTGTGGAGTCTGTGTACATAACAGCCTTGGTGTGCTCATCGGGGAAGTAAAGGCCATAGCGGAAGAAGAGGGAGCGCACAAAGGGGAGCTCCTCAAACTCGTGGAGGCTGATGGCTGCCTTCAGCAGCTGCCACTCAGCCTGCAGTGGGAAGAACTCGTAGATAAACTCCTTTGGGTCTGTCAAGAAGTAGTGGTCATCGTACTCATACCTGCGAGGAAGAGGATAGGGGTGAGAACATGGAGAAGGTAGGGGTGAGAGTTGGAAAGAGTGGAAGTGGTGATTGAGAATGCAAGGTGTGTATGTGTGGGGGTGACACAGCAGAGGTAAGAGTGCAGGGATGTATGATGTTACCATGGTTATTTAATATATTTATACAGCTGCTGGGGTTGTCATAGAAGTGACTACTATAGCACTGTCATCTAAAAAGTTACTGTATATCCAATTTGTAGGTTAGTTGTGAAATATACAACAAAAATTATTTCATTCTACAAGAGTTGGAAGATATGATCTACCATATGGACACACACATACCTGTTAGTGCTCTAAAATACTAAGTTGTTGTCTCAAACAGGAATGTATAAAGTAACTAATATGGTGACCACTTCTGAACAATATGTGGGATCAAACAAAATCACCTACAAGTTTTCTAAAAAAGAACACTTGTTTAATTGCTACAAATTTTACCTTGTATGGTACACACTCTGAAGTAAGAAACAGAGGCTTAGTTAGGCCTTTATCTAATATGATAGTGCTAACCAACAACCTAACTAATCAGAGATTGAGCCATGATTAGTGGATGCAGGATAAAGCCTCTACCACTCCACCCACTGAATGACTCACATAGGTTTAGTATTTTATGAAATACAACACATTTGTCTCAAAAGACAACACCTTGCACACCACTGTAAAAAAGATAAGTTAGAGAGAGTATAGGTAATGAGGTAGAGGTCAAAAAAAGTAAGAGGTGGATTTAAGATTGCAGTGTCAGTGTGTGCAGCAGAAGTTTGTGGGTGCAGGAGGGAAGAGGAGCAACTCGTGGAATGAGTGGTAGGAGAGAAAAGGTTAGCATATGAGAGGGTTTTTCAAAGCAAAAATGATATAAGGATAGTGGAGTACAGTGGACCCTTGGTTTTCATGTTTAATCCGTTCCAGAGCCATCGGCCAAAACTGAAACCATTTTCCCCATGAGAAATAATGTAAATGGAATTAATCTGTTCCAGACACCCAGAAGTATCAACAAAACATTTTATTTTACCTTAAATATACATTTACATGCACAAAAGAATGAACATTAAACATGACACTTACCTTTTATTGAAGGCTGTTGTTGCTGGAAGGAAGGCAGGGAGGAAGGGAAAGGGAAGATAGGTTATTATTTGGAAGGGGAATCCCCCTCCATAAAGACTCTAGGTACCAAGTCCTTATCTGGGGTCACTTCCCTCCTTTGTTTTTTTTACTGTCACTAGGGCCAACTTGAGAGTCACTGGAGTCTCTTTTTTCAATTCTACGGTGTTCCCCACTTTCTTTACCAAAGCAGTTGCACTGGGAGCTTTCTTTGGGGCCATGGTCACTTATTTAGCAGTCACACACAATAAACAAGTGGCAAACACAATGGATTATTATGAAATGTTTCTTATGACCTGGCAGGATATGTTCCCTGACCGAAAAACAACGCTACACTGGCTGAGAATGTGTGTGGGAGGCGGCTTTGTCTGCATGCTGGGGACTGGACAGGTTCCGTATGATCGACGAAAACGAAGGTATAATCGACAAAAACTAAATAAAAAATCAACGAAAAAAGTCAGCGAAAACCAAGGGTCCACTGTATATGGAAAGTAAAAGAGAGGTTAAGAGAGTGGTGAGGAAGTGTAAAAGGAGAGCAAACGAGAGAGTGGGTGAGGTTTTGTCAACAAATTCTGTTGACAAGAAAAAGTATTGGAGTAATATTTATAAGCTGAGAAAGCCTTGGAAATGAATGGATTTAACAGTTAGAAACGAAAGATGGGAGTTATTAGATAAGGAGGTAAGGTATTGGGAAGACGGAGGGAATATTTTGAGGGGCTCTTAAATATTGATGACGAAACGGAGGCAGTGATTTCATGCATTGGGAAAGGAAGTATGTATAACATCTTCTAGGAGTGAAGAAGGGCCAGATGTGAGTGTGAAGAGGTGCATCAGGCAGTAGATAGAGTGAAAAAAAATAAAGCAGCTAGGATTGACAAGATCAAGACAGAAATGTTAAAAGCAGGTGGGAATATAGTTTTGGAGTGGTTGGTGCATTTGTTCAGTAAATGTATGAAGGGGGGAAGGTACCTACTGACTGGCAGTGAATATAGTGCCTTTATATAAAGAAAAAGAGAATAAAGTAGACTGCAAGAATTATAAGGAAATAAGCCTGTTGAGTATACCAGGTTAAGTGTATGGCAGTTATTACTGAAAGAATTAAGAGTAAGAATGAGGATGAACAAGGAGGCTTTAGAAAGGGAAGAGGATGTGTAGATGAAGTGTTTACAGTGAAGCATGTAAATGGATAATATTTGGATAATGTAAAGAAGCTTTTGTTGTATTTATGGACTTAGAAAAGGCATATGATTGAGTGGATAGGAAAGCAATGTGGCAGCTGTTGCAAGTGTATGGAGTAGATGGTAAGTTACTTAAAGCAGTTTGGGTTTTTTATGAGTATAGTGAGGCTCAGGTTAACATATGTAGGAGAGCGAGAAATTATTTTCCAGTAAGAACTAGGCCTTAGACAGGGATTTGTGATGTTACCAAGGTTAACATATTCATAGTTGGGGTTGTAAAAGAAGTGAATGTTGGAGGTGCTGGAGAGAGGTGTGGGATTAAAAGATAGTGAATCTAATACAAGGTGGGAGCTGTCACAGTTGCATTTTGCTAATGACACAGTCCTTTCTGAAGATTCTGAAGAGAAATTACAAAGGCTGGTAGATGAATTTGGGAGGGTAGTAGGTTGGTAGACAGCAACCACCCAGGGAGGTACTACCGTCCTGCCAAGTGAGTGTAAAACGAAAGCCTGTAATTGTTTTACATGATGGTAGGATTGCTGGTGTCTTTTGTCTGTCTCATAAATATGCAAGATTACAGGTACGTCTTGCTACTTCTACTTACACTTAGGTCACACTACACATACATGTACACGTTTATTTATACACACTCATCTGAGTTTTCTTTGATTTTATCTTAATAGTTCTTGGTCTTATTACTTTTCCTTTTATATCCATGGGGAAGTGGAATAAGAATTTTTTCTCCGTAAGCCATGCGTGTAGTAAAAGTCAACTAAAATGCCGGGAACAATGGGCTAGTAACCCCTTTTCCTGTAAAGATTACTAAAAAGAATAAGAAGAAAATTGTCAAAGTGGGAAGTTTGAATGTGCGTGGATGTTGTGCAAATGATAAGAAAGAGATGATTGTGGATGTTATGAATGAGAAGAAACTGGATGTCCTGGCTTTAAGTGAAACAAAGCTGAAGGGGGTGGGAGAGTTTCAATGGAGAGGAATAAATGGGATTAGGTCAGGGGTTTCAAATAGAGTTAGAGCTAAAGAAGGAGTAGCAATAATGTTGAAGGATAAGCTATGGCAGGAAAAGAGGGACTACAAATGCATAAATTCAAGGATTATGTGGAGTAAAATAAAGATTGGATGTGAAAAGTGGGTTATAGTAAGCGTGTATGCACCTGGAGAAGAGAGAAGTGTAGAGGAGAGAGAGAGATTCTGGGAAATGTTGAGTGAATGCGTGGGGAGTTTTGAATCAAGTGTGAGAGTAATGGTGGTTGGGGATTTCAATGCTAAAGTGGGTAAAAATGTTATGGAGGGAGTAGTAGGTAAATTTGGGGTGCCAGGGGTAAATGTAAATGGGGAGCCTTTAATTGAGCTATGTGTAGAAAGAAATTTGGTAATAAGTAATACATATTTTATGAAAAAGAGGATAAATAAATATACAAGGTATGATGTAGCACGTAATGAAAGTAGTTTGTTAGATTATGTATTGGTGGATAAAAGGTTGATGGGTAGGCTCCAGGATGTACATGTTTATAGAGGGGCAACTGATATATCGGATCATTATTTAGTTGTAGCTACAGTTAGAGTAAGAGGTAGATGGGAAAAGAGGAAGGTGGCAACAACAAGTAAGAGGGAGGTGAAAGTGTGTAAACTAAGGGAGGAGGAAGTTCGGGCGAGATATAAGCGACTATTGGCAGAAAGGTGGGCTAGTGCAAAGATGAGTAGTGGGGGGGTTGAAGAGGGTTGGAATAGTTTTAAAAATGCAGTATTAGAATGTGGGGCAGAAGTTTGTGGTTATAGGAGGTGGGGGCAGGAGGAAAGAGGAGTGATTGGTGGAATGATGAAGTAAAGGGTGTGATAAAAGAGAAAAAGGTAGCTTACGAGAGGTTTTTACAAAGCAGAAGTGTTATAAGAAGAGCAGAGTATATGGAGAGTAAAAGAAAGGTGAAGAGAGTGGTGAGAGAGTGCAAAAGGAGAGCAGATGAAAGAGTGGGAGAGGCACTGTCAAGAAATTTTAATGAAAATAAGAAAAAATTTTGGAGCGAGTTAAACAAGTTAAGAAAGCCTAGGGAAAGTATGGATTTGTCCGTTAAAAACAGAGTAGGGGAGTTAGTAGATGGGGAGAGGGAGGTATTAGGTAGATGGCGAGAATATTTTGAGGAACTTTTAAATGTTGAGGAAGAAAGGGAGGCGGTAATTTCATGCACTGGCCAGGGAGGTATACCATCTTTTAGGAGTGAAGAAGAGCAGAATGTAAGTGTGGTGGAGGTACGTGAGGCATTACGAAGAATGAAAGGGGGTAAAGCAGCTGGAACTGATGGGATCATGACAGAAATGTTAAAAGCAGGGGGGGATATAGTGTTGGAGTGGTTGGTACTTTTGTTTAATAAATGTATGAAAGAGGGGAAGGTACCTAGGGATTGGCGGAGAGCATGTATAGTCCCTTTATATAAAGGGAAAGGGGACAAAAGAGATTGTAAAAATTATAGAGGAATAAGTTTACTGAGTATACCAGGAAAAGTATACGGTAGAGTTATAATTGAAAGAATTAGAGGTAAGACAGAATGTAGAATTGTGGATGAGCAAGGAGGCTTCAGAGTGGGTAGGGGATGTGTAGATCAAGTGTTTACATTGAAGCATATATGTGAACAGTATTTAGATAAAGGTAGGAAAGTTTTTATTGCATTTATGGATTTAGAAAAGGCATATGATAGAGTGGATAGAGGAGCAATGTGGCAGATGTTGCAAGTATATGGAATAGGTGGTAAGTTACTAAATGCTGTAAAGAGCTTTTATGAGGATAGTGAGGCTCAGGTTAGGGTGTGTAGAAGACAGGGAGAATACTTCCCGGTAAAAGTAGGTCTTAGACAGGGATGTGTAATGTCACCATGGTTGTTTAATATATTTATAGATGGGGTTGTAAAAGAAGTAAATGCTAGGGTGTTCGGGAGAGGGTGGGATTAAATTATGGGAATCAAATTCAAAATGGGAATTGACACAGTTACTTTTTGCTGATGATACTGTGCTTATGGGAGATTCTAAAGAAAAATTGCAAAGGTTAGTGGATGAGTTTGAGAATGTGTGTAAAGGTAGAAAGTTGAAAGTGAACATAGAAAAGAGTAAGGTGATGAGGGTATCAAATGATTTAGATAAAGAAAAATTGGATATCAAATTGGGGAGGAGGAGTATGGAAGAAGTGAATGTTTTCAGATACTTTGGAGTCGACGTGTCGGCGGATGGATTTATGAAGGATGAGGTTAATCATAGAATTGATGAGGGAAAAAAGGCGAGTGGTGCGTTGAGGTATATGTGGAGTCAAAAAACGTTATCTATGGAGGCAAAGAAGGGAATGTATGAAAGTATAGTAGTACCAACACTCTTATATGGATGTGAAGCTTGGGTGGTAAATGCAGCAGCGAGGAGACGGTTGGAGGCAGTGGAGATGTCCTGTCTAAGGGCAATGTGTGGTGTAAATGTTATGCAGAAAATTCGGAGTGTGGAAATTAGGAGAAGGTGTGGAGTTAATAAAAGCATTAGTCAGAGGGCAGAAGAGGGGTTGTTGAGGTGGTTTGGTCATTTAGAGAGAATGGATCAAAGTAGAATGACATGGAAAGCATATAAATCTATAGGGGAAGGAAAGAGGGGTAGGGGTCGTCCTCGAAAGGGTTGGAAAGAGGGGGTAAAGGAGGTTTTGTGGGCGAGGGGGTTGGAAAGAGGGGGTAAAGGAGGTTTTGTGGGCGAGGGGCTTGGACTTCCAGCAAGCGTGCATGAGCGTGTTAGATAGGAGTGAATGGAGACGAATGATACTTGGGACCCGACGATCTGTTGGAGTGTGAGCAGGGTAATATTTAGTGAAGGGATTCAGGGAAACCGGTTATTTTCATATAGTCGGACTTGAGTCCTGGAAATGGGAAGTACAATGCCTGCACTTTAAAGGAGGGGTTTGGGATATTGGCAGTTTGGAGGGATATGTTGTGTATCTTTATACGTATATGCTTCTAAACTGTTGTATTCTGAGCACCTCTGCAAAAGCAGTGATAATGTGTGAGTGTGGTGAAAGTGTTGAATGATGATGAAAGTATTTTCTTTTTGGGGATTTTCTTTCTTTTTTGGGTCACCCTGCCTCGGTGGGAGACGACCGACTTGTTGAAAAAAAAAAAAAAAAAAAAAAATGTAAAAGAAGTAAATTAAAAGCAAACATAGGAAACAGCAAGGCAATGATAGTACCAAAAAAATTATGCAATGAAAGTTTGAATATCAGATGGAAAGGAGGGAGTACAGAGGAAGTAAACGTATTTTGATATTTAGGTGAGAAGGTCCATGAAAGATGAGGTGAAAATGGTGAGTGGTGGCAAAAAGGAAAATGTATCAGAGTATAATGGTATCAACACTCTTATATGGGTATGAAGTTTGGGTTTTAAATGCTGCAGCAGGGAGGAGGCTGGAGGCAGAGTTGTTGTGTCTGAGGGCAATGTGTGGTGTGAATTCATAGTTTGGAGATTAGAAAGATGTGTGGGGTTATTAAAAACATCCAGAAGGCTGAGGAAGGGTTACTGAAGTGGTCTGGATATTTTGAAAGGATGGAGCAAAACAGGATTACTTGGAGAGTGTACAAATCTGTAGTGGAGGGAAAGAGGGATAGGTGTTGTCCTAGGAATGGTAGGAAAAGGGGTAAAGGAGTTTTGTAAGGGTTATGGGCATCCAACAATTGTGTGTGAGCATGTTAGACAGGAGCGAGTGAAAGCAAATGGTTTTTATGACTTGGCATGCTGTTGGAGTGTGAGCAGGGTAACATTTATGAAGGGACTCAGCAAAACTGGTTAGCCAGACTTGAGTCCTGGTGAGAAAGTAGTGCTTACACTCTGAAGGAAGGGTGGGGATGTTACAGTTTGGGGGGACATCTGAGCTGTAATATCAGCATGCATGAGTGATGGTGAAAGTGTTACTTTTTTTACAGGCCACCCTACCTCGTGGGAGACAGCTGGAATGTCTACATAAAAAAAAAAAAGTGAAAGTGTCATCACCATCACAGAGCCTTTTGCCCTCTGAAACATCAGATAGTACCCAAGGAATCAAGTTAACTACCTCAGTCTTCCTGTAACACAAAGTTTAATTTAAAATATTACAAAGTATTTCCCATTACTAATCAAGAAAAGGGCTAGTATTTATAACACCTGGGGTGCACCCTTGTGATATGCATATAAAATATATTATCTATGACAAAGGCTTCTCTAATCTATAAAAGAGTAAACTGTTGATCTTGGAGAATCTTTATTCTCCATAAGTTGGGAATGAATTAAACTTACCTGTTACAACAAACATTAAACTAGCCATCTTAGAGTTTAAAGGTTGATCTGAAACCAAGTGGTAAATCACTGTTAAATGTTAAAACCTGTAACTAGCATGAAAACAGGAAAAGCATATGATTCTGTAATGTTCCATCAGGTTAAGGACAAATATGTCTAGCACTCAGTCATGTTACAGACAAGTATCTCTTGTGCTCTGTGCTCAACATGTCACTCAGATTAATACAGATTTTATTGTGCTTGAGAGCACAACTAGCAGGAAGTGCTTATATTATAATGCTGCTGGTAGAGATAAATACTGTACCTCAAGCATGAGAGAGAAAAAATTCTATCAGAAAAATCATGGTTAAGTTAGTAAAATATTGCTCACATGCAGTGGCTCAAGAAAGGCAAAAACACTGTGGATCTGATACACACTAAGCATACATTCACCTCCACTCAACATGTACACTCCCTCTCTCTCTCTTACACACACTCACACCAGTGAAGAGGCAGGGCAGGAGTTGTGAACTGACCCCTGCAACCACATATAGGTGAGTACACACGTGTATAAAGACATACAAGCACACACATAGATGGCCAGCTTTGAAATGACTCCTGTAACCACATATAGGAATGAACACATGCACACAAGCATGTGCGCACACATTTTATTTTGCAGAATTTTCCTAGATTATGAACTACTGTATTGTTAGCAACTGGAAACTGAAACAATGGATCAGTCACCAATAATACCTTAGTTTTACTGAGAACTAAAAGAATTTCCAGTGAGACAAAGCACATGCAAGTCAGAAATATGAGGTAGGCAAGATGTTGTTGCCTTGACACCCAAGAGACAGAAACCCAAGAGATTGTTGGATGTTTCAGTGTCACAAAGAGACAGAAAAATATCTCCATTGGTTCCCTAGGGCACAAATGTGAAACTTTTGAAAGACTCAAGACAGAGGGATGTAAGATTGTCCTGTAAAACTTAAGAGAATGGAGAAATTCAAGTTCTTAAGAGACAGACACACAAGAGTTTAAATCATGACAAATAACAGACTAAAGGTCTTGGAGGCATTAGCAGAGACGAAGTCCTCTACTGAATACTGAAAGGTGCTTTGAGACGAGAGATGTAAGTTTAATTATTATCACCCAGCCACACAAACAAAGGCTGTTGAGAGAAGTTGGAGACAGGAAATGGAGATGCAAGACGAGATGACACAAGAGGAAGGATCGAGTCCTTATAGTGTGGTGTACAGACCTTAGGTTATTGCTCCGTCCTTCGAATCGACCAGAGACCTTCCTGTTATGCAAGAAAGTAGAGTTAGAGGCTGTGGTGGTCGTGGTGGAGACTGGTGAAGGTGGCTGCTGGTGATGGTGACTATAACAGTGGTGGCTGGTGAAAAATGGGAATGTATGGTAGGAATGGTGGTAACTGATAGAGATGGTAGCATGGAGAGCAGCACAGCCCAACTGCTGTCATTATAGTTAGCATTATTGTTTCTATTGTTATACAGTGGACCCCCGGTTAACGAACTTTTTTCATTCCAGTAGTATGTTCAGGTGCCAGTACTGACCGAATTTTTTCCCATAAGGAATATTGTGAAGTAGATTAGTCCATTTCAGACCCCCAAACATACACGTACAAACGCACTTACATAAATACACTTACATAATTGGTCGCATTTGGAGGTGATCGTTAAGCGGGGGTCCACTGTATTTAACCCCACACTAACCCATCTGCATGTCTGTGTAATCATACTTCCATATATTAAAATAAATATCTACTAATAAGCATGTAGTAGTATGCTTTAAAAAATTGTTGCTATTTAACACGACATCCCCGGCATTGCTACTGGCATGCAAGATATGCTTTATGGTTACTACTGGATACAGTCAACTACTTTATAAGCACTACAATAGCTACCTATAGCTACAGAGATGTACTAATTAACATGCACAATACCTACCAGAAGCTGTGAAGACTACAATGCAGGAAGCCTCAATATGTTTATAAGTAGACTGGAAGCCATGAGAGAAACTTGGGCAGGTGGAGAGGTCCTGAGGGCCATATCTAACACTAGCCATGACACACACAACGCTAAATACTGATACACATAACACTAGAAATCGGGACACATCTAACACTAGACATGAATTCACATAACACTAGACATAGGATACATCTGTGCACATAACACTAGAAACAAGGACAATCTAGCACTAGACATGTATGTACATAATACTAGACATAGGGAAACATTTAAAAGTAAACATGAATACACATAACACTAGATATTGGGATACATCTAACACTAGACACAGGGATGCAGGTAACATATGAGAGATAATGAACGACTCGCCTCAGACTATCACTCTTGCTCTTGCCACCAGGTTTGGGCACTTCCTTAGCATTGACAAGGTGTCGGGCTCCCCAGTTACACTGCACAAAGCGCCACGACCCGGCCACATACACAGCGTTCCAGGAGTTGCGGAACCTGTTGTCCTCAAACCTCACACCCGGCTGGTAACCAGCCGACTTGCTGTACCCCTTGATGACTACACAGTGCAGACCTGCATAACTGTGGGTAGAGACATGGCTCTTATCACATATATAATGATGCTTATGTCCATGTATCATGTGATACTGTCAACATGCTGACTATGCTAATAATTATAGTAGTGAATAATCATTATAAATCCAGAAGATAGTGACAACATTCAAATTATAAAACTGTAATTACATATAATAATGATTTTTTTTTTATTATTAACACATTGGCTGTTTCCCACCAAGGCAGGGTGGCCCAAAAAAGAAAACTTTCATCATCATTCACTCCATCACTGTCTTGCCAGAGGCATGCCTACACTACAGTTATAAAACTGCAACATTAACACCCCTCCTTCAGAGTGCAGACACCGTACTTCCCATCTTCAGGACTCAAGTCCGGCCTGCCGGTTTCCCTGAATCCCTTCATAAATGTTACCTTGCTTACACTCCAATAGCATGTCAAGTCCTAAAAACCATTTGTCTCCATTCACTCCTGTCTAACATGCTCACACATGCTTGTTGGAAGGCCAAGCCCCTCATACACAAAACCTCCTTTACCCCCTCCCTCCAACCTTTCCTAGGCTGACCCTTACCGTGCCTTCCCTCCACTACAGATCTGTATACACTCTTGAAGTCATTCTATTTTGCTTCATTCTCTCTACATGTCCAAACCATCTCAATAACCCCTCCTCAGCCCTCTGGATAATAGTTCTGGTAATCCCACACCACCTCCTAATCTCCAAACTACGGATTCTCTGCATTATATTCACACCACACGCTGCCCTCAGACATGCCATCTCCACTGCCTAGAGCCTTCTCCTTGTAACATTCACAACCCATGCCTCACACCCATACAAGAGCATTGGTGTAATTATACTCTCGTACATTCCCCTCTTTGCTTTCATGGATAAAGTTCTTTGTCTCCAAAGACTCCTCAGTGCACCACTCATCTTCTTTCCCTCATCAATTCTATGATTCACCTTATCCTTCACAGACCCATCTGCTGACTTGTCCACTCCCAAATATCTGAACACATTCACCTCCTCCATACTCTCTCCCTCCAATCTGATATCAAATCTTCCATAACTTAATTTTTTTTGTTATCCTCATCACCTTACTCTTTCCTATATTCACTTTTAACTTCCTTCTTTTACATACCCTACCAAACTCATCAACCAACCTCTGCAACTTATCTTCAGAATCTCCCAAAAGCACAGTGTCATCAGCAAAGAGCAACTGTGACAACTCCCACTTTGTGTTAGATTCTTTTTCTTTTAACCCCACACCTCTTGCCAACACCCAAGCATTCACTTCTCTTACTACTCTGTCTATAAATATACAGTAGGCCCCCACTTATACGGCAGGTTAGGTTCCAGGCTACCGCCGTAAAGCGGAAATTGCCGTAAAGTGGAACACCCTTTTTTCCCATACAAATGCATACAAATACTAGATAAGTTTACACTCACAATAAAAAAGTAATACACACATAGTGCACTCATTACTTGTAGTCTTAATCTAGGGTGAGATGAGTAGTATTTATTGTAAGAAATCAAGTGCGGTACGTATGGTAGCCAGCCGGGCTACCATACCAGGCCATGTCACCGCACATATTATTCTATGAAATTTAAGCATCCCAGAGCAATAAAATGCATATATAGTTCACTAATTACTTACCTTAAAATATTTGTAGTCTTAATGTAGGGTCAGACGTGAGTAAACGAGATAAAACGAATATATGAGAGAGAGAAAGAATGAGTACATGAGAGAGGACAGGCGCAGAGTTATGTAAACAAACGAGGCAAACGTAAGTTTTGTAAACAAAGTGTACACGTCTGGGTTTGTGTACAAGTTACATTGTGTACACGTTGTCTCTACATTGATATGGTAGAATAAATAAAGAAGAACACTCTCATTCTCATGTAACACCATTTTTAGAAGAAATGACGCTCTGAGTGAAGGCAATGGAAATAAGTCACTTTGACTTTTTTGGGTTATCCTAGGTTCTTTACACATATGCTATTATGTATGATAATCTATGTAACTGTATTTGTGTATACCTGAATAAGCTTACTTACATACATAAGAAAGGAATAATTTTCTACAGCTACCACCAGTAACACATTTTCTCTGATGTTGGACTAGAGAAAATGTTATTCTTGCCGTCACTCATAAAAGTCTGGCTCCCACATCTCACATTTATGTTTATTTATTGTATTGTGGGGTGTATTTATCATCTTTATATGTTATGTATCGCGTTTATTATATAATTTTGAAAAAAAAATATCATGGATGGATTAATGAAAATGTGTATATTAATGTAATATACGACATTTAATGAGACTCGGTGATTATTATTATTATTATTATTATCATTTCTAATATGGCGTCATTTGTGCAAGTCGTCTGGCTACCACATCTCATATTTATGTTTATTTATTCTACTGTGGGGTTTATTTATCATCTTTATATGTTATGCATTGTGTTTATTACCTGGAGTTTACCTGGAGAGAGTTCCGGGGGTCAACGCCCCCGCGGCCCGGTCTGTGACCAGGCCTCCTGGTGGATCAGAGCCTGATCAACCAGGCTGTTGCTGCTGGCTGCACGCAAACCAACGTACGAGCCACAGCCCGGCTGATCAGGAACTGACTTTAGGTGCTTGTCCAGTGCCAGCTTGAAGACTGCCAGGGGTCTGTTGGTAATCCCCCTTATGCATGCTGGGAGGCAGTTGAACAGTCTCAGGCCCCTGACACTTATTGTATGGTCTCTTAACGTGCTAGTGACACCCCTGCTTTTCATTGGGGGGATGTTGCATCATCTGCCAAGTCTTTTGCTTTCGTAGTGAGTGATTTTAGAACAAGTGACCTGAAGAGTGTCATCATGGGCTTGGCCTCCCTAGTTTTGAAGGTTCTCATTATCCATCCTGTCATTTTTCTAGCAGATGCGATTGATACAATGTTATGGTCCTTGAAGGCGAGATCCTCCGACATGATCACTCCCAGGTCTTTGACGTTGGTGTTTCTCTCTATTTTGTGGCCAGAATTTGTTTTGTACTCTCATGAAGATTTAATTTCCTCGTGTTTACCATATCTGAGTAATTGAAATTTCTCATCGTTGAGCTTCATATTGTTTTCTGCAGCCCACTGAAAGATTCGGTTGATGTCCGCCTGGAGTCTTGCAGTGTCTGCAATGGAAGACACTGTCATGCAGATTCGGGTGTCATCTGCAAAGGAAGACACGGTGCTGTGGCTGACATCCTTGTCTATGTCGGATATGAGGATGAGGAACAAGATGGGAGCGAGTACTGTGCCTTGTGGAAAAGAGCTTTTCACCGTAGCTGCCTCGGACTTTACTCTGTTGATGACTACTCTCTGTGTTCTGTTAGTGAGGAAATTATAGATCCATCGACTGACTTTTCCTGTTATTCCTTTAGCACGCATTTTGTGAGCTATTACGCCATGGTCACACTTGTCGAAGGCTTTTGCAAAGTCTGTATACGTATATTACATCTGCATTCTTTTTATCTTCTAGTGCATTCAGGACCTTGTCGTAGTGATCCAATAGTTGAGACAGACAGGAGCGACCTGTTCTAAACCCATGTTGCCCTGGGTTGTGTAACTGATGGGTTTCTAGATGGGTGGTGATCTTGCTTCTTAGGACCCTTTCAAAGATTTTTATGATATGGGATGTTAGTGCTATCGGTCTGTAGTTCTTTGCTGTTGCTTTACTGCCCCCTTTGTGGAGTGGGGCTATGTCTGTTGCTTTTAGTAATTGTGGGACGACCCCCATGTCCATGCTCCCTCTCCATAGGATGGATAAGGCTCGTGATAGGGGCTTCTTGCAGTTCTTGATGAACACGGAGTTCCATGAGTCTGGCCCTGGGGCAGAGTGCATGAGCATGTAATTTATCGCCTGTTCGAAGTCATTTGGCATCAGGATAACCTCGGATAGGCTTGTGTTAACCAAATTTTGTGGCTCTCTCATAAAAAATTAATTTTGATCTTCGACTCTCAGTCTGGTTAGCGGCTTGCTAAAAACTGAGTCATATTGGGACTTGAGTAGCTCACTCATTTCCTTGCTGTCATCTGTGTAGGACCCATCTTGTTTAAGTAGGGGGCCAATACTGGATGTTGTTCTCGACTTTGATTTGGCATAGGAGAAGAAATACTTTGGGTTTCTTTCGATTTCATTTATGGCTTGTAGTTCTTCCCGCGATTCCTGACTCCTACAAGATTCCTTTAGCTTGAGTTCGATGCTTGCTATTTCTCTGACCAGTGTCTCCCTACGCATTTCAGATATACTGACCTCTTTTAGCCGCTCTGTTATTCTTTTCCGTCGCCTGTAAAGGGAGCGCCTGTCTCTTTCTATTTTACATCTCCTCCTCCTTTTTCTTAGAGGAATAAGCCTTGTGCATACATCGAGTGCCACCAAGTTAATCTGTTCTAGGCATAAGTTGGGGTCTGTGTTGCTTAGTATATCTTCCCAGCTTATATCAGTTAGGACTTGGTTTACTTGGTCCCACTTTATGTTTTTGTTATTGAAGTTGAATTTGGTGAATGCTCCCTCGTGACTAGTCTCATTATGTCGGTCTGGGGCTCCACGCATACATGTCTGAACCTCAATTATGTTGTGATCTGAGTATATTGTTTTTGATATGGTGACATTTCTTATCAGATCATCATTGTTAGTGAATATGAGGTCTAGTGTATTCTCCAGTCTAGTAGGCTCTATTATTTGCTGGTTTAAATTGAATTTTGTGGAGAGATTTAAAAGCTCGTGTGAGTGTGAGTTTTCATCAGAGCTGCCTCCTGGTGTTATTACTGCAACAATATTATTTGCTATATTCCTCCATTTAGGTGCCTTAAGTTGAAATCCCCCAGGAGCAAGATGTTGGGTGCAGGAGCTGGAAGATTTTCCAGACAGTGGTCAATTTTTAATAGCTGTTCCTGGAATTGCTGGGATGTTGCATCCGGAGGCTTGTAGACTACCACAATGACTAGGTTTTGGTTCTCGACCTTTACTGCTAAAACTTCC